ACATTTCAACATCTTTTTTCTGAATCCGACGTTGTAGCATGGGATAGACAATTCACGTTTACAGTTTGAAGAACACCTGCTTGCTTCTGATTATTTCCTTTGGCTTCAGCATAAATTTGAAGAATAGCTAACCAATGAGTGTTTGCGTTATATGACTCATTCAATTGCACTAGTTTTCACTAGATGTGGATGGCGCTAATGATCTGCATTGAATGGCGCACATGACGTGAAATAAATATTTATAAACATTAAACTGAAGCCAAAAGTAACGAGTAACGTTTCTTCTAAAATATGTAAGTAATAGAAAGCACAGATACTTGTGGAAAATGTAATGAGTAGAATTCAGAAGTAGGAAGAAAAATAAGTAATGGAGTAAAGTATACGTAAAGAGTGTAATCAAGTACAGTAACAAAAAATATGTGTACTTCGTTACTTGACACTTCTGCTGAGGAAAGACTTTTTTACTATGACTACAATTTAAACCACAAAAAGAATCTTCTTGAATTCAGTTTCTACTTTAAAGAAACAGAAGAAAAGAGTTTGGATATTGAATGATGTCGGGGATGAGCTAAAAACTCTGGAATTGCCTCATAGCTGATTCTGCACTGCATTGGGAAAAAAGCTAAATCCTTGATGTCACAGAAAATAAATATTTGTAATGGTTTTGTCCTAGTTTGGTGTTCAGCGCTCAACAGCATGCAGTTAGAAAAAAAAATGTTGGGGTGAAATAACGTGCAGGATCAAAACATCAGCATCCCCTCTGCTGATGCCTCTTCTAAAAGGAACTGTATGTATATTTGTTCCCCGAATACTGACTCATTAAAAAAATATATTTTTCTCATGAAATTTAAATAGAAGCATGATAAATAGTGTCAGTTTAAAAAGGGGTAACTTTAATATTTTCATATCCTTAGTTATAGTTTCATTTATTGCTTTGTCTATTTCAGTAATTTATTTCCTTTTTATCTCATTTTAGATTCAATATATTCTTTTTACTTTACTCTTGTTGACATTTTATCTTCTCTAACGGGTTAATTATGTGCTTTAAATTACGTTATATATGCTAATGAGTTTGAACAACCTGTCCATATTTTCATTTGCGCTCATTTCATCTGTTTGTTTAAGCCATTAAAAGTGGACTGATTGTGGGTAATGTTTACATATGCTGCTAAGGAATAGGAGTCAGGGACCTCTGTTATTATAAAAAAAAAAAAACAATTTAAGACAAACTTAGCCCTTGAAGCCAAGTGTATCATATTTGATACATTTGGCTGATACAATATTACATTCATCAATGTAATATTTTTTTGTTTTTGAAAACCTTGACTTTCATAATTAGACACAAGTAGTGAACAGAAAGCATATAAAAGATTTTACAGAAATGCCTAATGTATCGAATAATGTTGCAAATAAGTGATCTATTTTAATGTGTTGATGTTTTCGTTAGAAAGTTCAATGACAACTCTAATTTAGAAAAAAAATGCCAATTTCCTGTCAATTATTTCATGGTACAGGCTTTGAATAGTTAAGAAAAAATGCTGTCCCTACTGTGAAACAAGGAGGAGATTCTGTTATATTCTTGGGATGCTATGCTATATTTGGCTAAGGTTGTCTACTATAGTTAGTGGATACTATGAAATCTGAAGACTATCAAGGGATTCAAGAGAGAAATGTTCTTCTCGGTGTCAGAAAGCTTGGTCTCAATTGCAGGTCATGGGTCTCATAACACTATAATGACCCAAAACAAACAGCTAAAAACTCCCAGAAAGGCTAAAAGCAAAACACTGGACTCTTCTGAAGTGGCCTTCTATGAGCCCTGACCTAAACCCTGTTGAGCATCTCTGAAGGAGCTGAAACATGCCGTCTTAAAAAGGTGCAGAAATCTAATACGAAGTTACAGGAATCTTTTGGTTGCAGGGATTGCCTAAAAAGGTTGTGCAACAATATATCAAGTTAAGGGTACCATCATAATTTTGCCCAGGCTCTTCATTGATTAACTTTTTTTTAATCACTCTGTTCAAGCATTGTTAAAAAACAATGTTTCACTTCAATTTCTTCATTCAACTTTTTGAACATTGTATATTTCACTTATGTCAGGTTCAAGTTATTTCTGTGACCATGCTGGGTTTTTTCTTTCATTAAATGAGAGGTACTGACAATTTTGTCGTGTGTATTAGTACTTTAAAAGATTGCAAGCATTTTACGATAAAAGTTAGCAATGAAGTTGTAAGCTGTGTTTTTTCCCTTATATCTATCTAAATGGGGCTCCATGAATCACAGTCATACAGCATGAAATCCAGCAGATATCTTTCAGTCATATGTAATCATAGCAGAAAGAGAGAGCGGATTCATTGGCTCAGTTATTAGATAATCACATGATTCAACTCCTAAGGTTTTCTCAGCACTGATCCCTCTTCTGAACCCCTTAGGCATAGTAAAAATGAATTACACTACACCCAAAAAGAGCTTTATCTGGCCACATAGTGCAGCTTCTGACAGAGCATCAATTAATGCAGCTGGCAAGGGATGGGGATAAAGCCTATCAAGACCTTCGGATTGAGTTCCAGCACAAAGGCTGTAATGCAAAGACTTGGACAATCAACTGATAGCAGCTTGAATTTGTAAGTCTGATTATAATGCAGGGATTTGGGGTTTTCTGGAGGAGATGGCTTTAAGCCATGAAGTAATCTTTTCAGATTCTTTGTTGTGAACAGATTTGTCCCCCTGTTGTCTAAGTTGTTCTAAACTAGCATGATGTAAGGTATTATTGCAGGGCAAGATCAAAAAAGGGCCACTTCCAAATGGGGTGAAAAATCAAAGGGATCTTATTGAGAAAGAGAAATAAATCAGCACTAAAAAAAAGGATTAAACTGCAGTTTTTTTGTGTGTGTGTTTCTTTTTTTCCACATGGAATTAATAGACCTAAAACAACATTTACTGAAGTCTCATATTTCATTATAACCTCCTGTGTATTTATATTTGCTTTTTTTTTATTTTTATAAGAAAACTAAGCAAATTATTTTGTTCACTTAGTTATTCTCAAAATGTGTGGATAACTCATTAGCTGGATTGTAATGAATGCTTTATCATGAGATTTCATTTTGCAGTGTGTGATATAATAATTTAAGTTTTATCCTTTTTTTTCTCCCCAAAAGAGATCTAAATAATACTGTTTCTCAGTTAGTTAATGTATTTACTTTAGTGTTAAAACACAAATATTATTATTTAGGCTGGTTTATGACCTATTTTTTATGTTGATTATACTGATCATATATTTAAGAAATAATGTTCAGCTTAACAAGTTGACACTCCATTAGATAAATTCTCTTCTATTTTGTTTTCAGTATAAAATGCTATAATGAATTATCATGTTACCTTCTGCATTCTCTCTTGAGCTGTGATTGATCATTGGTTCTGGAAGATATTTCTTGGAGCCCTGAATAAATAACATGCATCATTTTACCATTCTCTTATTAAAAAGTAAACAATATTCTGTCATTTTTTTTAGATATGGCTCACATGATAAGTATAAAGATAAGGAGACCGTCTTTGTCAAAATGTTTATACCCTTTTCTTTCCTCCTACTCTACCTTTGCCCCAGACCCTAACATGTTTTCTCTAGGACAGTGATTTATTTTCTTCTACTCATCTGCCCATAATTTTTTTTATAAGTTCTCAGTCTTTGGTTAAGAAAAGGGTTCTGAGAGAGCAATACTGCCAATACCCTTCTTTACCATGGACATGGGGCTTTCAGGGTTAAGACCAAAGTTAGTGTTCTGTAATGCATTTGTTTTTTAAATAAGCCATATTTGTATTTTACTTTCATTTGACCCACCTTAAAAACCCTCCCCTCCACCCACCTCAGTGACAACTCTTTTCATAAATGAGAGAGATGTTAATAAACTATAAGGAAGACAGAATCCCGGAAAGCTGCTGGACCATGATTCTGTCTCTCCGTCCTCCTAGAAGCACTGTGCTGATCAGCAATCTCCACTGTTCACAGACATTTTTAAAACCTCACTGGCAACATCTCAAGTGCCAACCTGCTTCAAATCTTCCACTATTTCCAAGAAACCAAGGTCCACTGGACTTGAAACCCGTCACATGACCTCTGTGGTCATGAAGTCCTTTGAGCGCACTGTGCTTTCACACCTGAAACAGATCACTGACCCCTGAACAGTTTCTTCCCATCCACTACCAGCCTTATCAACAAGGCCCAGAGACCCCACCTGACACTGATATTGCCTCTCTTCCTCCCCCATTCAGGACCTAGAATCTACACCAATGTAGCGTCTCTAATTGTGTCTATTGTGTATATACAGTAGTACATGGCTAGATACTATATATTATATATAGCATATTGTATGTTTTATATTGTATGTAGCAATAGATTCTGTATTCTGTATATATTTTTACCTAATTTGTCTGCACCATCAACACAAAGTTAAATTCCTTGTAAGTGCAAACCGACTTGGCAATAGATCTGATTCTGATTCCTGCTACATGATTTGTCTGTTTTGTTTTTCTGACTTTCTTTTAACATTGGCGTTCTTCCTGCCACTCGTACACAAAGGCAACATTTATGAAGTGCATAACAAATTTTACAAGAAAGTTACAAAATCAAAAGGCTCTTTAAACTAAGATGTGGATGTGTGCAGCTCCCCCATATTTTTTTGTTCTTTTGCTTGTTTTTTTTTTTTTTTTCTCTGATTAATGCCCTTCTGTTTAGTTAAAGACAAGCTTCCCCACAACATTATCCCTGCCCTGTCTTGTTTGTCTTTGGTCTTAATGATGCTGCTTGCTGCTTCGCAACATGTATACTAACTTTTTTGGTTATAATGCAACAGTCAAAAAGACATTCAGCAGCTATGAATACTTTGAAAGCTACAGTTAATATAAGGACCTGTTAGTTCCCAAAAAGGCCCAACATTTCCTGATTCCAGAAAAGCTCTTGTCGTCTTTGAAATAATATACATTTGTCATGGTTTCTCTCCTTATAGCTAGAAAACTTCATCCAGGAGAATGTGCGCTCTGGTATGGAAGAGATAAAGAGGGCGACTGTGCACACCCAGACAGCCGCTATGCTGGAGATGGGAACCAACCTGCTCAGCCAATCGGCAGAGCAGACTCGCAAATTGACAGATGTTGAGACCCAGGTGAGAAAGTTAAGAAGATGAGAATAAGATTTTTTTGAATTAATTGTTTTGTAGTCAAGTCTAAAGAAAATTAGCATGGGTCATACATGCTCATGAAAAAAATCATGTTTGTGCGAAAGCATTTTTGAAAGTATCAAATTAAAATGGAAATCAGACAATCTGCTGAGAAGCCATGCCCAAAGGTGTCGGCAGCAGCTGGTATTTACTTCCACAGACTTTGACACAATGAGCTGCAAGTAGTGACTGACAATAAGCCAATTAAAACATAAACCTCAGTAGCACAACACAGATGTGATTTCAATCATACTAGACTTGTTATTACAGATTGGGCTGTTTTGCTGTTACTTTTTCTCTTATCAAAGGTTGATAAAGAACTGAAACCTGTATAAATATTCAAGTTAGATTTTCCTCGTTGTGTTTTATCTGCAACCAAAAACTGTTTCAGGGATCAGTAGGGACACATTCTAGGATTTGTAATTTGTTAAGCAAGGCTGTTTATCCCCAAAGGTGTGATTGTAAGGAATTCACAGCTGAACTTGGCATTTTATACTGAAGGTGTGATAGGCTTATGTTTTTTAACCCTCTGTCAATCTCTAGGTGTTAAACAAGACAAGTCGCCTCGAGATACAGCTGCTTGAATACTCACTCTTTACGAACCGCCTGGAGAAACACATTCTCCTGCAGACTCAAGAAATTGCACGCCTCAGTGACAAAAACAGGTGAGCAAAGTAAAGCGAAGTAAAAGGAAGTTTAATCTTCAGGGTGGCTATGCTAAGCCTTAAAGATAGGCTGATCCACTCAGTCAACTTGGCACTCTAAACGCTGCTGAGGATGTGCTTTCGACATCTGGGGAGTGGCGGCCTAGTGGTTAGGGTAAAGAGTTTGGAATCCTGAGGTTGTGCGTTCGAGCCCCAATCCCATAGACTACCACTCCGTGTCCCTGAGCAAAGACCCTTAACCCCAAACTGCTCCTTAGGTGCTGCACAATGGCAGCCTACTGCTTTCCAAGGGGATGGGTTAAATGCAGAGAGTTAATTTCGTTACTCTGTACTTGTGACAGTGTAAAGACAATAACAGCTGGGGGGAAAAAAGGATCAATTCAGTTTATTTATTTAGCGTCAATTCCCAATATGTTATCTCCAGACACTTTACAATTTAACCAGATGATACAGTGAATTTGATTAAAAGTTTTCTAAGGAAAACCAGTTGATTGCATCGACTTATTGACTCGCATGCAATCCCTCACACTAAGCATGATTTTAGCGACAGGGGAGAGGAAAAACTCCCTCTTAACAGGAAGAAACCTCCAGCAGAAGCAGACTCATGATCTGCCATTTGCCGAGGCCCACTCGGGTTCAAGGAGACAGAAGCAAACACAGAGCCAGGCAGACGAGCTCTGAGCCAGCTCCCATGTCAGAGGATGAACAGAGCACATCCAACCAGTCACAGCCGGAGAAACAGGACTACACTGAGAAACAGGCCAAGTTTGAACATCTATAAACAAAGGGATGATGGCAGCAACACAGCTGATATTTCTTTCCAGGATGGCGTCACAGCCAAACAGGAACAGACAGGATCAAGCTACTATGAGAAAAAGCAGTGGGAGCATAGGGTTAGAGATTGAACTAACACATTCTGCAGAGTGGTAGAATAGAGATAGAATGAAGCAGAAATATGAAAAAAGGGTCCCTATGTCCTCCAGCAGTTTAAGTCTATAGCAGCATAACTATAGAGATAGCTATAAGCTTTATCAAATAGGAAAGTTTTAGGCCTACCCTTAAAAGTTGACAGGGTGTCTGCCTCACAGAATAAAACTGGTAGTTCGTTCCACAGGAGAGGTGTGGGTACTAGGTGTACCCTATTTGGATGATTTTTAGGCATGTCCCATAAGTAAAAACTCACGGTTTATTTCCCAAAGAATTTTTGGGTCCACCTCAATAAATATAAACTACTTAGATGGATAATCTTATGCCATACTAAAAATATATGTTGTCTTCACTGAATTAATCCATGCTTAACTCCTTTTAGCATGTTGCAGGATTGGTGTCACCAAAATGTCAATAGTAAGGTAATTACCTGAACAACTGAAGATCACTGTTACAGACTGTATACAGTTCTTTTAGTCCTCAAATGATGACCAACAAGAACAAAAAAACAAATGGAGAAAAGCAGTTGAATACAATAATTCCCTGAATGCATGTACCAGGGGTGTACTTTACTTATTAATTGTATTTAGGGTATATTTTGCAATATAAGAAGCAGCATTTTGAGTTAGATTGTGGATTTTGCCTTGGTAAAAGCAATGGCTAAAAAAAAAAAAAATGCCTATGTGCTTGTGTGGGCAAACAGGGAAAGGCATAATTCTCCCCTAATTGTTAACACCAGCCATAAATACCTTTCATGAAACACGTACTGATACAATTATAAAATTATAATGAAACACCTCAACAATTTTTCACAGTGGGCCACTAACTTGTAAAACTCCTCATATAATGAGACGTATAATCCTATGATCAAATGGGTAATGCTTCTTAGTAGGGACTTTCTCTAAAATTTCTCACAAAACTATGGGATTATCTGGGTTATAGACGGAGCAAAAGGGTGCAGTCTTTGTATCCCCTTGCTTATCTTTCCAACAAGCTGTTCGATGTGACCTACAGGGGATCATGCTACTCTGCCATCAGCACTTGTTACAGATTCCCTCTTCTATAAATCTGTGGTGCCTTTTTATTCATCATTGTTTTCTCTAATGATGACATGGCTCTGATGTGTAAATACATGTATTTATCTTTGAAAATTCAGGGGCAGAGGTGGCTGTAGGTGCAGCTATAATAGTCTAAAACTAGGTGCTTGAGATTCTGAGATGTTTCTGAGCTCCTGCCAAGATAAAAATGGGCACAGACACGTGTTTGTTTTCTTAGGCGTTGCGTATAAAATAGTATCAGCAGGAGGCAAACCCAACTGCAGAGGTATGGAGAACAGCCGTCTAGCCATGAATACTTTACAATTAAAATAACAATAAAAAAAAAGAATACCATAAGCAGAATTTGAATAAGTAAAATAGTTAAATATTTCTATACTGCCAACTCCTCTAACTATGAACACTTGGCTGGTCTGGTTTCTATACTCCGACTGATTCTCACACTTGAATGCACAAAGCAGTGAAAAAATTGAAAGCACACTTTGCTGCTTTAATTGAGTTATTTCCCGTCAAAGCAAACATAAGTAGGAAGCAATGTAAAATTTTATTTGGATCGATCCATCAACGCCACATGCTGAGTGGATGGCTAAAGTGGGAGACTGTGGATCCATGCAGAGTGTATGTAATCCTTGTCTGCAGAGACCATTGAAGTAGCTTGTTCAGTCTAGGTGGTTGGATTGTTTCAATAAATAACTGTTTGCGAGTCATTAGTCAAAGCCATAAAGATCAAGCTGCTAGAATAGATGATCTTCATTTAGCTACAATGTGCCACTCTTGCAGACACACAAAACACACACAAAGAGAAACACACACACACCCACACACAGATATATTACCATAACTACTGCCAGGTTGATGCCTTCAGGGCATGATGGAGTATTTCGGCATACTGAGCCATCTGTGAGCGCGGCTGTGGTACAGGTGTTTATATGATGTTAGCATAGTGAGACAGTTTTGCAGAGTTCTATTCATCATCCTTAGTTAAATTTGCATTTTTTTTAAATATCTGCTTTAAAAGTTAAATGTAATGCACCTCCATCCACATGTATTATTTATTGCAAATAACCCTATGCCAATGCTGTGAAAACTAACCTAGTTCTTCTTTAGCTTTCTAGAACAAAGGCTTTTAGCACTGGAGGCACGCTATGGGAAGGAGCTGCAGGATTTGCTGGGTGAAAAACAGCAGCTTCAAGATGTTCTGGAGAGGCACAGTCACTTGGTCAGTCAGCTTGAAGGTGAACTTGAAAGCTCAACACTCAATAGTACTGCACTACAGAGGCAGCAGGCAAGGCTGGCGGACACTGTTGAGCAGCTGCTCACTAAAGTCAGTCAATGCAATGGTAAGGCTTTGTGGGTACTGTTTGGATTAACACATCCACAGACATTTTAAACAATACATACAAATGTACACAAGAAGAGCAACTCTACCATAACAGACAGGGAATTTAATCTAGGTAAGGTAGTATTAGCTATGTAAATCTCAATTAAACTAGACAAACTTTAAACAGTTTCAACAGTAAACTCAGTGCAATGTGGAACTGACTGTAAAAACCTTAAGTAATTGTAATTCTGTCAAAATGTGCCACTGTGTTTCTGCAGAAATTTCCAGAAAGCCCAAGAACAAGAGACAAACTTTCAAAGACTGTGCTGAAATTCTGCGGTCAGGAGGGAAAGAGAGTGGATTATACAGCATACGACTGCACAACTCAACACAGGATGTAAAGGTATAGAGGATTTATTCCTTGTAGCTATAAATTATTTTCATATTTTGAAACCACCTGATTTGAGTTCAGTGCTGCCTTGCAAAAGTAGTACTGATAGAAAACATGTTTAAAGAGATTTTCACATGCATCATTTTAGTTTGAGAAATGCTAATTGGTGTCTCAATCTGACTTCACTCTGTTGGTGGAAACATAGAAACGTTTTTTTTGGAATCAGGCAGAAAGCACTTGGCTTTAGGGATAAACAAGTTGTTGACCTTTTCTTTCAAATATCACCTGACTGAGAGTGACATGTAACTTTTTTCCGAGGACTTTGTCTTTTTACTTCTTAGTTTAGAGAAATGAAACCAATTGTATCAACTACATTATGTTTGCAACAGTAAGACACATCCATACACACTGTATGAGAAATGTACTGCATCAGGGTATCAATAAATCTTGAAAGGGAAAAAAAAAGTTAACATAATTTCAAACTGAGGCTAACTGAGTTTTTGTTGCTGAGGTAGCTAGATATGCCATACTATGTTAAAGAAATTAGAAATAATAAGCAACTACAGCCTTACATTCTTCATGTGATATGGGAAAAAGGTTTGTGCAGCTAAGTGCTATGGTAGAGAAGCCAAGGAGTTTTCTCCACTCATCTGGAGGAGCTGGCTCATGCTTAGTCAACCGTGGCATCCAGCAGCAGGCTATCGCTTCAGCAAATCACATCCACTTGTCTTAGATTGTGTTGCCTTTCTTACAGCTTAGCAGAGGGAAACACAAGAAAAAAAAAGAAAAGAAACAAAGATATCCATAAAAACAGATGTTTGTTATGCATTGCTTTTTTCTTTAGTTTACTGTTGGCATCATCTTTTTATTACTGTGTTTTGTTTTGTTTTTTTCTCATAACCAACCACGAGTTAGGCACTGGTGCCATGTGTTTCCTGCCAGCCGGGGCAAATGTACATTTTCCACTGACATAAGTTAGCGAACCCCTCCAGCACCCCCAGCCTTCTTACCTAAATCAAGGCTGCTTTCGGTGTACAATTCCAATTTAATTCCAGAATAGAATGTCTGGCCAGGTGGGTGGTGGTATAAAACTGGGCAAAAGCAAAACAACCTATTTTCTAAGCAGTCACATTTTTTTTTTACCACTTTCAATAGTTACAAAGCGGTTATAAATAAACTACTGCATCACGGTATCTTTTCTATCAGAATATTAAGTATTTTTCAGGTAACACTGAATACATATCAGATTAAATAATACTACTTATACTTCAGCGATGGTATCTAGGTGTTACTTTATTGTATGTCTTGTACCATTTCCATTGGTTGTGCTGTTCTTTTTACATCCCTTTGTAGGTGATGAAGCAGACTGAAAATGTTTTATCATTATCTCCCTTTTATCTCCTCTTTCTTTCATCTTTTCTCTTTTTTTCTGTTTTTCCTTTCCTGTTCCACTTACATTGTAGTGTCCATATAATCTGTAAAACTCCCTGCATAATTATGATAAAGCTATTTATATGCATAAATTCAAGCGGAACACTATGGCAATAGCCATACTGCTCCCCTTGTGAAAGTAAAATCTGTCGGGCTCTCTTTTTGGTATCAAGACATTTATTCTTTTTGCCACATTGCCAGGCAGGACACTGAAAAAAAAAAAAAAAGAATTGTCTATGTACTGAATTGTGTTATACAAATAAAATTGCCTTGCCTTGAAAAAAAAAACAAAAAAACAATATTAAGTATTTTTATAATCCGCAAACATCGCTATATTAAAATATTATTAAAAAAAAAACTAATTTATTCAGTTATTCAATTAAAGAAATACATGGGATTCAGATACATTTAACATAAAATGTTTACTTCAAACCTTTACCTTGATTATTATGGCTTAAAACCATAAGACAAAACACTTTTTTCTTAGAAAACTAAAATATTACCTCATAAAATTAAATTGGGGTTTTGTAAACAGAAATCCTACATAATGACTATACAGTATAAGGTCTTGGTACTCTTTGGTCTCTGTTGGTGTGGTCTACCTTCCATTAGGAGGGTTAGCAATAGAACATAATTTGTAAAGAAGTTGACTTCTCTAATGAGTCTTTATTTAAGCATATTAATTAACATTGTTTAAAAAATGGTACATTCTTATGCAAAACTCCAGACTGCAAAAATTTTGTCCATTCAAGAGATTGTAGGGTTTAACAGGGCATTAGCCATGACTGGAATCAGTGCACAGGGAACCTCTTTGCAGAGAAAGGTTCAGAAATTAAAAAGCACTGTTTTCAACTTTCTTTTTCCCTATGATGAGCCACTCCTGAAGCAGAGACAACAGCTAGTTATTAGGTCTAATTGTCCCTTTTAAAATAAATTGTTGTTGTCTGTTCATTTAAAAGTTGAGAACCCAGAAGAAATGGCTAGAGCTGAGCTGGTACCGTCAGATGCATTGAACAGAGATGATGCTGTCTTTCAAAATAAAATCACTAAAACACTCTGCTCATCAGTTGCTCTAATTACAACAAATTTATTACAGTTCAGAATTAAGACCGATAATGCGGCATCTGTCCAGGTCCTGGTGGTTGTTGACCCCTAATCTAAACTAATATTTTGTTGTATTTAGTCATCCTGCTGGAATATATCAAGGCTTGAGCAAGTTTTCCCTCAGATTTCAATGTATTTAGCTCTATCCAGCTTCTACATCCATGAATGGGAAATGTTGTCTCAGCATCATGGTGTCACCATGCTTTACAGTGGGCCTTTTGGATCATATGTGATGTGCTATATGGCCATATTTGGAGTTTTGCACAACCAACTAATTAAATTTTGGTCCTATCCAGCCAGAAAACCTTTTTTTTCCAGCTATTTAAAATATGGATTATGGAAAACTGCAAACACAACTTTTTTGTTACTCTTCCTAAATGGATGCAGTTCCTTAATGATTTCATAGAAAAGACTGCTGGGATATTAGAAGCTACACAGTATTATCATTCTCTACTCTTAAGGATTGGCTGAAGGAAGTTGGCAGAAATATATATTTCTGTCATTTCATCCATCCACCAATCATCTATACCTGCTTATCAGTCAGGATCACAGGGGGCTGGTGTGTCTATCTAAAGCTCTTTTTGGATGATAGGTGGGGTAGATCCTAAACAGGCCACCAGCCCATCAGAAATTTCTATTATCTCGTATGTATTTATACATTTTTACACATTTTATTTTATTAATAAAGTCGTACGAAAGGGTTAATATTGTATTAATGATGCCAGATTCAACTGTAAAACAAAATCTACTTTTAATAAATATTCAGTATTCCAAATTGAGATAATTGGCGATTCCTCAATCCTGCTGACAACATTCATGACTTAAAGTGACAATGCTATACAAAAATCCAAATAAAGTGCTCAGGAACAAAACAAATTATACTTTCCAAGTCTATTGATTTAATTACACATGTTAAGCCTAAACTGATCCAAGAAATAAAAAGCATTTAATCTTCCGCCCACCGGGAAAATTTGCTCACTCATCTTATTACCACTACAGGAGGCTGGAGGACGTCCAGATGAACACTTCAGATGTCTAAAACAAGTCTAGATTTCCAAATCTGTCACTCGATGAATAAGTACAATTCTTCTTTAGCTCTTCCTGCAAACATCTGCATCTGCAAAATGTGGAGCCAAGAAAGAAAAAAAACAGTCTGCTGTAACCCAAAACGTTCAAACCTCCTCCTCAAACACCCCCAACCTCCCATCCCCACTCCTGGGATACGTGAACAAACTGGGATGTTAGTTTTTCCAGCCCATCTGGGTCATATCAATGTGTGACACCCTGAAATGGAGGGTTTCCCCATCGTTTTCCTCGAGCTTTTATGGAAGTCCTCAAATAACAGAAATGCTGCTGTGCTATTTATCTTATCTCTTCATAATATTGGGTTAACTTCAATGATGAGTCTTCTTGTTTTCCAAGATATGATTTTGAGAGTAAACCGAGTTTAGCCCCAATTGCACTTGCACTAAATAAAGTTAGAGTACCTTGAAAAAACTAACTCATAGCTTTTTTGACTTTATGGGTCTTTATTACATTTGCCACACGGTGAATGATTTGGGCAGCAAAAGAGAAGAACAGAACAGTGATGCACTTCACAAAGAAAATCTCCATAATGATAAAGAAAAGCCTCAACAGGTCAAATTTGTCATTAGCCACGTAGGAAACAGCACATTTAAGGAAAGACTTTGGCCAAATGAAAACTAAATTAGAAACTTTGGCCCATAAATAATTCCCCGTGTGTTGTGTGAGACAAAACAATACCCATCACCCAGAGCAAAGCATCCCGATAGTGAAACATGCACCATCGTGCCGCAGAGATTCCTCCTTTTTTGTATTTTTTTTTTTCATTTTCCAATTTAACAGATTTAAACACAAGAGAGGTCCAAAAATGTCTAACCAAAAACCACTCTAACCTTTGTCCCTCTGTCCCATACCCCTCTGGACCCCACCTCCCCACACACAAAACAAAACTAAACAAAAATCCACATAGATGAGTAAAGTGGGAATCTACTTTTCTATGCAACATCACAAAATAATATCTATCTTTTTTCCTTCATTTCACTTCTCTTTTTTGTGTTAGTCTATCACATAATGTGACAATATTATTTTGAAGTGTGATTTTTATTTTTGCGACACAATATGTACAAAAGTAAAACATATAATAATTCTGATAGACGAGTCAAAGAGTATTATGTTCCCTAAATTAAGAATGTTGATAAAATAGTTTCACTCTGTGCAGGTCTGTCAAATACAAAGAGTCCATGAATACATTTTATGTTTCAGCTGCTAAAGAGCCACACTGTATAATTATCTATCCCCAAACTCGGTCCTCAAGGCCCCCTGTCCTGCAGGTTTTAGAGGTTTCCTTGCTCCAGCACAGCTGATTTTAATTGAAAGCTGATTAACAGGCTTTTGGTCTACTGCAATCGTTATAACCAGCTGTGCTGAAGCAGAGAAACCTCTAAAACCTGCAGGACAGGGGGCCTTGAGGACCGAGTTTGGGGATGCCTGATCTAGTGGACACAAATGGATTAACTCTCATCAGCTGGTTTGAGACAGAACAGATTACAGATGAATGTTTATGTTCCTCATAGAGCGAAAGTGATTCTAGAAATGTGTGGTTAGATGCTCAAACTTTCTTAGCCAATATATCTCACATTTACTCAATCTGTCTATAATGCCAACAACTTTTAATCTAACTTTTCAACCTTTGTCTACCAGGATCAAGAGATTAGATCAATTTTTTTTCTTTTTCTGCGCAGGTGTATTGTGACATGAAGACCAGAGGTGGGGGGTGGACAGTGCTGCAGCATCGAAGGAATGGCTCTGTTGACTTCCACCGCAGATGGGAGGACTACAAAACGGTACTTTTTTTAACACATCAAGGATGCATCACTATTGTAAGATCATGTAGACCAACGCTGCATTACTGCACAGGAGGTTTCAATAACTGTCCATGGGTGGTTTGGCATGAAAAGGCGTGGGAGAGCGGCTCTCCTGTGATCCCAGGTGACCTGTGGTTGTTACATTTGGCTGCCCTCATGTTCCCTACCACCCCCTATGTTTTTGCACCTGCTATTGCTCTGTGTCAACCCCCCACCCCAACCCAAAGAAAAACGAACACACACACACACACACACACACACACACACATTTCTCATACATAAACACTGATGTTTTGCAATTTCTGACTCACAGCGTATTATTATTTGCATCAGTCCTTAAGATTGCTACATTTTCCTGCAAAACATTCTAAAGTGTGCACAAGAGACCATAAAGTAGCATTAATGTTCTAGGTCTGTCAAAATTGTTTTAACACTTGTAACTATGTTTTGCACAAAATCTAAATTATGTTTTGTTAGATGTGATTATAAAGCTTTTAAAATAAGTGAAATGTGCTCTGTATGCTTTAGGAAACCAGTAAATAAATTGCAGGCAGTCCCCTTAGACTGTTAAATTACACAGAACAAATGTGCAATGCTGGTTTTGACTGGATGTAGTGTGTTTCAGATTGGCACTGACAAATCAACTGCGACTGGAAATGCTAACAAAAATAGAGCTAAAAAAAAAACACACACACACAAAAAAAACTGGTAAACTTCTTTCAAGTTCAATATTTTTTCAAGTGGATGATAAACCTTCGACTCCAGCTGGGAGCGTGGGAGCACAGGGACCCTATGGATGGTGGATAGCGATTGCACTGAAATGCTTTTCTGTCTCTGCCCTGTCTCAGAAGCTGTGGTCAGACTTTATCAAATGCTGCACCCTGGGGTTCTCATCAGGTGATAAACGCTATACGCCTCCTTGCAGCGTATCTGCTCACAGTCAAGAGAAAAAAACAACAGCTAGACTTGTCATTTCCAGAACTACTCCTAACCCGACAAACTTTATACTCTCAGAGGCATACTAAAAAATTTTATCATTCCACAATAAAAAGAAGGAATACAAGCTGAACAAACTGATGGAAAAACGTGTATAAATGTGGAGACAATAAGAAATAAATTATAGGCAAATTAATAATTTTAAGGGTCACTCTCTTATTATGTTTTAGTAGGAATAAGTTAGATATACCAAAAAAATCAATAGGTTTCATCCTTACATTTTTTTTATTTTGAACATCTTAGAGAGAACAATTTAGTCCAACATTTTAAATTGAAAATGAATCAAAGTAATGGCCATCAAACAGAAGCGGCCAGTAATCCCATATAGCCTTTATACAAGAATGCAGTTTTAGCTCAAGCGGGTACAAATTAATAATAGACATCACTTTGAACACAATGATACATGGTGGTGGCAGCATCAGAATAAACATAAAAGTAGGAAGAAACCCTGCTGCTGCAAAGGACCTGCGCCTGAGTGGCAAATATGCCTTTCTTTATGTTAGTCTGTGATAAAATCTTGATGAAATGCATTAGGTTTTTGGCTGTAATTCGACAAAGGTAAAAAAAAATGTTCAATAGATGTAAATTTTTTTGCAAGTCATTTCACATTGTTACTTTGTATTAGGGTTCTGTTACACTGTGAATCAGTTTTAGATTAAATCAACTGCTGCATTTTCTAGTATCTTTATGCTTGTTGATAATTCTTTGCTCCTCATGTGGGAGGTGAGAAGTCCACCAGATCCCGGAGAGTGGAAAAAAAAAAAAAACAGTGGTGATCAACAGCCACTCCTCTAAGCTTAGCATACTAATAAAATAAGTTGAATTTGCTATTACAAAAAAGGTCAAAAAGAGATCAGCCCAACAAGAAAAACCAAAATATGCCTACCCTGACATAGATGTGCATCATTAGTAAAAAGAAGACACCTAAGCATGGCATAGAACTGAGCCTAACATAGAAACTGATACAAAATCTGTAAAGCTTGTCAATAAAAGCATAGAAAATAGAAAACTAATCCAAATCGACTATACAGACTATGAAACATTATATGTATTGATCTTCTGCATATGCAAATCAAATTGTATTAAGGTTCATGGGACTTTGTTTCCATAATCATTTAAAGAATTGTTCCAGATTATTAAGATTAGCAGTCATCCATTTATGTCTCCTTGTTGTTTCAGTGAAGTTAGTATCTGGAATTTAACTTCGCCAGCACAATAATACCTCCTGTCCTTTTGGTAGCCGCTCTGCTGCTGATTTGCTAATGGCTTAGGGATTATTATCCTGCTTTTTGATCCATTTGCAGCCAGGCTTCAGTTGTCAGACAGATTGTCAGGCTAAATGCTTTGGTATGCAGAGGAGTTCATGTCTGAGTCAGTGGTTGCGAGGTGTCCAGGTTTTGTGGTCTCAAAACAAGCCATCCGACCCCCCTGCTGAGCTTGACAGTTGGTAGAAGTAGTGAGTGCTGAAATATTGTTTGGCTTTTGCCAAATGCACTCTAGCAAGACATCTCTGCATCTGGCTCATCTGTCCAATGGATATTCATCCAGAAATTTTGTGGTTTGTTCAAATGTAACCTTGCAAACACAGGCTGTGATTTTTTTTCTTTTAAACAGAACAAAATTTTCTGCTGGCATGCAAGCATTACAAGTCCAAAAATTTTTTTTTTGGCCTCCTTTAATGTCTGTGGAGGTCTTTAAAATCTATCTGGCCATATATTTCTATAGCCTGGGTGCCATTCCGAACTTAGTCCCGCCCACAAGGTTTGAGGTCGGGAAGTTCGGTCTGGCATTGCTCCATAGTAGCGCAAGTATGATCGCCCACCCTCTGGCGATCCAATCAAATTGTCAGGGCGGGCTTTATACGATGATGGACAGATGATCAACAGTAACTTAATCAACCATGTGACCAAAGCGCGCTTGGGTGACAACAACAATGGCTGCCGCCGGAGAGTTGAGGTGAGTAGATTCTGCTATTAGGTCTGTTCTAGAAGATATCGACAGCAAATTAATTTTAAAAGAGGAACAGAGAAACGCGATCAAGGCTCACCTTCTTATTCTAGGCGTGCAACTGCACGCTTTGATTTTTGTTGACAACAACTATGCGTCGCTTAACATACATCACGCACTCCGTTGCTCTTATTGGTTGTAGGTCTATCCAATTGAGTGCAGAGGCATTTTTTTTCCTGGTTCGTTCAAAACACGCCCCATAATCACAGCTCTATGGAGCAGTATCAGACTCATATTCTGACTAGAATTGAGTAGGACTACGTCAGGCTAATATTTCTATAACATTTGTGTAATTCTGCAGGGATTCCCCCACCCTGTTCTATTTTAGTACTTTTTTTTAATTTTTTATTTAATAATCCCCATGATGAAATTTTTGTATTTCGATGCAGATCAATTATGATGTATTTTGTTTTGTTTTTCCCCTTCTAGTAGTGTTTCATGACACACGTAATGGCTGAATTCATCAATAGTGGCACAGTTGTTTTATTTAAGTATCCCCTTATATAGTAGTTTCTAAAATGACCAAACAAGTTTTGTTTTGCGGTATATTGTAATCACACAAGTTTGTTACTCAAGGGTATTTGATTTGCAGCATATAAATGCAACTTATTCCCTTTTTTCTTGCAAAAACTGAATGAAATGCTTAAAAACAACACTGCCAGTAGTTATAGTTGAAAAAATACTTTGATATAATATTTTTACAGCAAAATGAATTATTCTAAGGATTTCAGAAAAAGAAGTGCTAATTATTTGTCTTGTGTATGGATGTATAGTTATACAAACTTCACTTCCCATAATGCTGTGCGTTTAGGCGGGGCTGCGTAAGGTAAGGTCCCCCCATTAAAGGAGCGCCGTACCACCGTTGTGCTTGCTTCCTGGTTCTGCATGCTCGCTCCAGATGCCCTTTCTTATTGCATGCTCTGCACAGGAAATCTTTGTATTTGCGCTCAGCAGCTTAGTTTGTAGCTCTTTACTGCAAATTCCATAAACTAGCTGGTCCCTGAGCTGCTCATCCAAACTCACAGGTTGTTGCAAGTCCTTTTAATGCAGCCACATATTCAGCTACAGCCTCTCTGTTTTGCTGCTTTCAAACGCGGAATGAGTAACGTTCACTTAACACATTTTTCTTCGGCACATAGTGTTCCCTCAGTGCTTTTAACAAGTCTTCTAATGTGCAGCCAGACAGCTTTTTTAGTGCAAGCAAGTCTGTCAGTAATGAGAAAGTCTTTGCACCTACTACGGATAAGAAAAAAGCCCTTTGTTTCCCTCGCTCAATTCCTTTGGCTTCCGCAAACTGTGCAAATCTTTGCTCAAATGTCTTGAAACTTTCATTGCTTTCATCAAAGCACAAGCCTGTTTCACTGCTGTACACTGCCATCCTTGTGCTAGCTTCTGCTAACTTCACCGTCATTCTAGCATCTTCGTTTCACTTCCAACGTGATTAACTATTCCACCCCTCGTCGCCAGTGTGTAGTGTCCGAGTGAGGTCACGCACACATAGATGGAGGCAGAGATGAAGTTGCTGAACATTCATTTGTTTTTATTAAGCTTCTGCATAGTAATACAGGTAGGGTATACGTGTTGCGGCGGTTTGGCGCTCCTTTAATGGGGGGACCTTAACTTACGCAGCCCTGCCTAAACGCACGGCATTATGGGGAGTGAAGCTTGTATAACTATACATCCATACACAACAATATGAATCTGCTAAGGTAAGTTTTATGTATTGCTCAAACTGATAGATTAAAATACTCTTAGGTTTTTTTTGAGAGAGTTAAAAAAAAACAATTTTTTTCTGCACTGTTCGAAGTGTGGCACTTAAATTACATCCCAGATGCAGTCAACTGTTTTAACACAACAGAATGATGGATGTGCATGCCTTGAAGTGAGCTAAATTTTCCTATTAATTACAAAATAACTTGCCAGACAGCAGGATACCTTGGTGAGAATATTTACTTCATCTATTGTTTTTTTTTTTTCCTGTTTGTGTTGAATCCAGGGCTTTGGAGAGCCATCGGGGGAACACTGGTTGGGAAATGATATCATTCACAAGCTGACCAGCTCACAGGAATACAGTCTGCACATCCAGCTCCGTGACAGAGAGGGGAATGAAGCCTTCTCACATTATGATCGATTTCACATAGACAATGAACACAGCAACTACAGGTAATATGACCTGCATTTTTTTTTTTTTTTTTTTTTTTTTTGAAGGTTGGGG